CTATATTTTGATTATAAGTGCTGTGATCCACAAAAATCTAAAAGGTTATATCAATTATATGAGTTTCTATCCATTAAAAAGTATCCATATATGCTTTATGAAAAACATAATACAAGAAAGGTTCTATCTTGATGAATTATCACAAAAAATATTGGTCTATTTCAATGTGCCATGAGGTAAAACATTATTAGCTACAACTACAGCAACATCATTCCTGCCTCTCTTCCATATAAGTGACTGACATTTTGACTTGTGGGTGATTCAGGGTGTTTTGTTTTGTTTTGTTTTGCTTTTCGAGACAGGGTTTCTCTGTGTAGCTTTGGAGCCTATCCTGGCACTTGCTCTGGAGACCAGCCTGGCCTCAAATTCACAGAGTTCCGTCTGCCTTTGCCTCCCGAGTGCTGGGATTAAAGGCGTGCACCACCAACGCCAGGCGTGATTCACATTTTTAGATTGAATGTAGACTGAATCATAGCCTACACTTTCTGCATGACTTCTGCGGCTGCTTAGCTTTGTCACTATGAGATTCAGTACTTCTTATCACTGAGTCTATTCCTGTCTGTTGCTCTATATATAGTGTTTCAGTAACTGACGTTCCTTTTCTTACTCAATCACTAATGGGCATTTTAGATTGTTCTAGTTTGAACTTTTATGTTGCCATACATATCTTTGTACATGCCCTTTGTTGAAATTGCTAGGTTACAGGATATGCAAGCATTTATCACTGATAGATGTTGCAAAAAAGCTCCTAAAATTGTTTTTAACAGTTAAAACCCATCCTAGAAGATGATAACAGTCCTATATGTCACCAGTGGTGCTTGCTACTGTCAATATTTTCTATTTTAGCCATTTTTGAAAGTGTGTGTTGCAGCACTGATTTTAATTTACATGTTCTTGATTATTGATGAGATTGATCACCATTGCCCAAATTAATTAAATATCCCATTTGTGAATTTCTGATAAAATCTCCAATGCCAAAGCAATGGCATCAGTTAGCCTTAGCTGAAAATTCTGAAACCTTGAGCCAAAATCAACCTTTCCTTCTTTAAAAAGGGTTCTTTCAGTTACTTGTGTCAGGGAAGGAAAGCTGCTTTAGCTCAGCTCATATATATGCACATAAATTTCCAAACTGGCTGATTGGATTACAAACAAGACCCAAGAAATTCTGCCTGCAAGAAACTCACATCACTAACAAAGTCATACACAGACTTAAAGTGAAAAACCAGAAAAACTAAAAAAATTAAGTGTGAAACCAAGCAGGAGAATGTATATTCACATCAAACATACATTATGCCTAAATGGTTAACAGAGACAAAAAAGGTCGTGGTCTGTTTAGCTCTGTTTGTAATCTAATCAGCCAGTTTGGAAATTTATGTGCATATATGTGGGCTATATGTATGTGTCATATGTGTATGTATAGACACATGCATATATGCATAAAGGCCAGAATATATTGGGTATCTTCCTTGATCACTACTCACCCTGTCTTTTGAAACAGGGTAGTGATGGGGGATGTCCTTCTGTGTACCTGTTTCTCTTACTGGTTAATGAATAAAACACTTTTTGGCCAATAGAGGCAGGAAGATAGGCGGTACTAGGAGACAAGGAGAACTCTGGGAGAGGTAGGCAAAAAGGGACCACAAAGGATGCCATGTAGCAGAGGAAGGAGTAGCAAGTCCAGACCCTTCTCCAGTAAGATAAGACCATGTGGAAATACACAGATTAATAGAAATGGTTTAATAATTAAGAGAGAGCTAGCCAATAAGAAGTCTTAGCCATTGGCCATTAATATATGTCTCTGTGTGCTTATTTGGGGCTGAAGATAGGCTGGACCTGGTGGGAAAGAAAATCTAGCAACAGAGTAGCTCACCAAATTTAGACTCATCAGTCCAGGTAGCCTGACTTGCAAAAAATTCCAGGGATTCTCTTGGCCTCCTCAATCCCTACCAACCAATGCTCATGTTCTACCTCTATACTGGCATGTTTACTTCTGTGTGTACATGAGGCATATGCTTCTATGTATATATAAGGCATGCAAACTTTTCATTTCTACTTGATTCTAAACTCTTCTTGCACTGGGAACATATGGGAAGTTTTCTGCTATAATTTCACCAAATAAGTCACTCCATCTCTTTCATGACTTGGCCCTTTCATCAATACTGGTTATTCATAAACTTAGCCTTCTAATAATGTCCCCAATTACTATTTATACTCTCCATAGCTTATTCTTTCTGATTCACTACTACCTGAATGCACTAATTTGTTCACTCTGTCTTCAGTTTCTGATATTACACCTTCCAGTTGACTTTGTTTATTGTTGAGACTTGAGTTTGGTTCCTTTTCTGGGTTTCATCTTATTGCCTATATTGGTTTCCTTATTTCATTCAGCTGTTCATTTGTATTGTATTCAAACTCAGTCATCATTTTGAAAAAGTCTTTTGAATTCTTTGGCATAATATGCCTCAGTATCTTTGGATTTACGTATAAACTTTTAGGAGTCATGTTGCCTTGTTTTAGTCATAGTTCTTGTGTTTCTACATCCAGATGTGTACATCTCACAGACCAGATATATATTCTAATGCCATATGAGGTCTTATTAAGAAGCCCCTTCCTCTTTTTTCCTTTGGTTTCTTGAGGCAAGGTTTCTCTGTGTAGACCTGACGGTCCTAGAACTCACTTTATAGAGGCTGGCCTGGAACTCACAGAGATCCTTCTGCCTCTGCCTCCCAAGTACTGGGATTAAAGGAGTGAACTACCAATGCCAGGCTAGAAGCCTTTTCTTGAGAGTTATGAATGAAGTATCACTCAAAGGGATAAAAATAATCACAGTCACAACAGGAAAACAAACCTTCTGGACACAGAAAACAAACAAACAAACAGCAATGCCACCACCAAGAACAATAGGAAAGAGACAGAAATATAGATTAAAGAGCTAAAAACTGTAAGACAGAAATCTTATATTTCAATTAAAATTAAAATAAAATTAGACACAAGAAATAAAAAAAAATGATGTAAAGAGAGGAAGAAAATACTACAAGTTTCCTCTTAGCCGAGATCCATGGATTGAGTAAATTTCTGTCATCCTCTAATACTGTTCTGCCAAATGTGATTGGTGGGGAAGTGGGGATAGTGGGACAAAGATGAGGCCTGTGGTTAATAAATTACCAGCAAACAGACTAATGCTGTATACAGGCTGATTTCTGCTCTGCCCTGTCCTGCCCTACATTTTCTACTTTGCTTGGTCAATGATATGTCTGTGACATAGCAGTATTCGCCTCATAGGCTTTCTGTATGCATGTCAAGGAGCCATGATGGCCCCAGCAGTGGTAATAGGACTGAGTGGGCACACCTCTCTTAAAAAGTTTGATTCCACATGTACACCAGCAATCTTGGGTGGTTGAGTGCTTCTTACCCCAGATGCCCAGGCAAATGTCCAAATTAAAGTATATCTGTAGAGTATGTGCAGCAAACAGACTACTGACCTCAGGCTGTAATAGGACAGGAGGGGAACCCTGTGGGAAGTGAACTATCTACTGACCTTTCCACTGACCACTGTGCCCCCAGAGCTTGCACTTCCCACTGCTTAAACTTCTCAATGGCAGGAAGAACTACCCTTCCCCTTGACTGCTGCACCTTGTCACTGCTATGGAATCCTTGGGGCCTCTGATTTTTGACCTCCCTGGAATCTGAGATCCAGGGTAGCTTAGTCCTTAACAGTGTGTCCTTCTCATAGTGGAACCTGATTAGAAACTCTGAAACAGAGTGGGCCCCAAGTCACCTTCAGAACAAATCACAGCACTGGACATGTAAGGCCGGCAATGAACTGTGGGTTTCTCCCACTGTTAAGACAGTCTGATGAAACACCGGGACTGTCTGCACTCAACAGCCCCTCAGCCACACTGAGGGCCAAGGTTGGAGTTTCAGAGTGTTTTGTACTTTTCCCTGAGTTGCCTTGCTGTTCTCTTTCAGTTCTCCCTTCACTGCTGCCCTATAGCATTTTCTCCGTCACTGTACTGTCTCTACTCACTTGCAGAGCCATGCAAAGGACACTTCTATTCCACCATCTTGCTACAGAAGGCATCAGAGCTGTCCTTGTCAGAGTAGTTCCAGTTCTGGTTTTCTTGAAAGGGTTGAGGCCTCAGCCTGCTCTCCTGTCTCCTGTCTAGTATGTTCTTCACTGTAAAACACAGCAACACACATGCTTCCCTTATACTCTTGAACTCTGACACTACCTCCTTCACCATGCTTGCTGGGATTATAGCTATCACAACCATGCCTGGTTTATACATTGCTCAAAACCAAACCTAAGGCCTCCATGCACATTATGCAAGAATCCTACTAACTGAGCTGAATTATATTCCCAGATCTTCCTGTTCAACCTAGAATCAGTTGTCTTTATTTATGCATACACACATTTGGATTTTAATTTGGACTGCATTAAACCTACAGACTGTGGGAATAGTTTAATACTACTGTATGTTGCAATATGATAAAAGGTAATAAAGATATAAGAACTATGATAAAATCATAAAAACTAAGAGAACTTTAAGAATGCCAAAATAAACAGAGGATATGCCATGTTCATAGCCTAGCAGAACTTACTCTGCCAGTTATAAAGACTTTTTATGAAGCTGCTGTGATTCACAGAGCAAAAACTGGCCTAAGAATAGGCAAAACAGCTGGACACACAGAGTTACAAATAGACCTACACACAACGTAACTTATGAACATTATAACAATAAAAACAATAAAAGACAATACAAAAAGGATTTTACTAATAAGTAAGGGTAAATCAACTGGGTATCACTGAGGTAACTATTTCTCTCTTACCTCATACCAATTCCACATAGATTATAAATCTATAACTGAAAGGCAAAATAATTGCTTCTAGGATATAATAGATGAGAATGTTCTCATGACCTTGGGTATAGGTCATGATTTCTTTGAACAGAAAAAAAGCTCATATAATATAAAGGAAAGCATTAATAAGTTGAACTATATGAGAATTAAGAAATTGTACTTTATCAACATGAAAAGACAAGTCAGAGCAATGAATGAAATTTGCGTATATGAAATCAAACAAGAATATTCTGGAATATATTTTCAAAACAAAATCACTTAATGACATAGAAGCTGGGGGAGGAGATGGGCACAGGGAAAAATAAAGCCCCTAGAATATACCTCCAATGAAATATTTACCATAGGTAGTGCACACGAACTAACATTAACAGCACACCCCAAAATAGGTCCATCACCTGGGTTCCAAGCCTGTGAGGAACCTTTCACAACTGAGCTATAACTGAAACAATCCACTGTGGAGACATAATGATATGTATGCATTGAAAATTGGATCATTCAATCTTATTAAACAAATACTACACAATATACAAGAAGAGATAAGACTACAATACAATAGTGGGTGGCTTCAGAATCCCTACTCTCATCAATATTATGCCATATAAGTACAAGAGAATGATGTCATATGAAAAATTATTATCAGCAAATATCAACAAAGAAACCTTAGAGTTAAATACCCTAGAGATCAGTGGATTTAACAAATATCTATACAACAGTACATACAACAGTAGCAAAATACACATACTTTTAATTGACACATATTTGATCTGTTAATGCAAGCTTTACAAATAAAAAATGAGAAAGGAAGAAAATGAAGGGAACAGAAGACTATAGGCCAATATAATCTTTGATAACCCTTGATTATCTCTGAAGTTAATTAGATGCAAAAATCCTTAATATGATACTTGCAAACTGCACTCAGAAATATATATTAAAAACATCATCCAACGTGATTAAGTTAGTTTCATTTTGGGGATGCTAGGATGGTTCTGTATTTGTAAACCAATACATTTAGTACAATATATAAACAGAAGACAAAAACTGCATGATCATCTGTTTCAGTGGAGAAGAAACCTTTGAGATGAAATTATATCATTTGGAGAAAGTTAAAAGAATGGAACTTGAGGTTATCCTGTTAAGCAAAATACAAAAGACACAGAAAGAAAAGTATAGCATGTTTTGTCTCATTGTGTGGAACTAGAATGATTTTTGAAAAGATCTAAAGAGAAGGGTGAGGCCCGAGTGCGAGGGTGAAGGAAGGGGGGATAAGATTAAGATGCAATATATACATAAGTGGAAATAGCACAATGAAATAAATTAACATGCTATTGTAAGAAATATTCTATTAGAAATTCAAAGTGCTTTGAAATCCAAAGGAGAGAAAGAAAACAGAGTATTTGCTGTCCATCACCTCATCTTCAGGCAGTTCTTCTAAGATAAACTACTTCCCTTTAGCTTAGTGGAATATGCTGCTGTCCTTCGCTACTTGGCTCATTAGTAATGCAGAATAAGCTGAATGAACAAACGTGTTTATTTCTCACTGCTGAGGTTATTTCCATGTGTGTTTTGTTTAAAAACTTTTCCATATTTAGGATAAGGAAACAATCTATCGCTTGTCATGTGTCAGGGTTTCCTCAATAGAAGGGCAACACATTACTGACTTTTTGTCTGTGGTTATTAGTACCTTAAAAAGAAACATTACTTTTTAACATTTTTTTTTAATTGATACAGGCAGTCTGTGTTAATGCTGTGCTGGCGAAGATAAAGAACATTTTTCAAGAAGAAGAATCCATAAGGCAAAACAGAGAGAGTGAGAATTTTAGGAAAGCCTTTTCTGAACCTGTGCTTCCAGAGCCCATGTTTTCTGAAGGTGAAATCAAAGCAAAACCTTACAGGTCATTGCCAGAGAAGCCAGACAACCTTTCAGAACACCCCAAGCCTCCTGCCAATAAGCAGAGCAACAAGATCCAAGTTTTACACTCTGTGTTTGACCAGTCAGCTGAAGTGAATCAATGAGAAATTCAGACACAAAAGACCACTTTAGAGAGCTCAGTAGTCATCCAGCCATAGGTACATTTCATCAGACAAAACCAGAAGACCAGTTTACATATGCTAAATGCTCTTTTAAAAGCAGGTAGAACAGGGAAAACTATGACATCATTCTCTTGTACTTATATGGCATAGAGAATAAAACGAATCTTGATGTACAATATATATATGATGACCCAGTATATTTGTTTTTCATATGTGTGTGTGCTGGTGCCTACCTACATAGGCCAGAAGAAAGTATCAAACCCCAGTAGCCACCTGAGATGGATGCTGGGAAACAAACAGAGGTCCTCTGGAAGAACACAACATACTCTTAACCACTGAGCCATCTTCCCTGCCCTTACTATGCAATATTTTTAGTGAATAAGAGAACTCATATTTTGTTGTTAGAGTTTACACTATTTATAATATTGATGTGATGAATTATTAATAATAATTCATTTGTATTTTTAATTAAGAATAGTTGTGAATGCTTATCTGGAAAGGAAAATTTCATAACTAAAGGCTAAACATTCATAACTAGAGGCTATACATTTATAACTAAAGGCTATGCATTTATAACCAAAGGCTATGCATTTATAACTAAAGGCTATGCATTTATAACTAAAGGCTACACATTTTGAGGCTGGAAAGATGGCTTGGCAGTTAAGAGCACTTGCTGCTCTCACGGAGAGCCCAGATTTGGTTCTTAGCACCCACATGGCAACTCACAACTGTTTGTAAATGAAGTCCATGGGGAACTAATGTCCTCTTCTGGTTTCTTCAGGCCCCAGAGGAAGTGTGGTGCACATACATACAGGCAGACAAAAACTTAAAAAATGCTACACGTTCAGAGGTAGTGAAAAGTATGTATCTTTCTACTTGCAGGTAGTAAGCCAAGTCTACATAATGATTTTATAACTCACTTGTGAAGTTATGAAGGACTTGAAATTCAGTTAAATTTATATAACAAAATGCTAGTTGCAAATCTGATGAAACAGGATGTGGTAAGGTGAGGTTGTTATTTAATAATGGAGTTTGGCCATATCCCTATTCTAGCTCTGAATACCTGAGATGCAAGGACTATATGCTCACACCACTGAACCTGACAAAGTGATCACATTTATTTACAAATTTAAAGACACAAATTTAGAACAAGAATCCATATTACTCATTACTGCTATTGGTTCCTGATAGAAATGCTGCTATACTTGGCGCAAGAAACCAAAGTCCTAGTTTTTGCCTAAAGGAATAACTTTAGTTTCTTTCAAGCACTTTATATTTTAACACATAAGATTTTGTTGCCCGCCATTCAAGAAATAATAGGATGGTATGAACTCCCCTCAGAGATAGCACATTTTCTGAACCCAGTAAGTAACATTGTTAAGAAAGTTCAACCCAAATGAATAAGAATCTTTTCTGTCATGTAACCTACATCCCCAAAGAAAAGGAAATATACTAACATACAGCAATTCCAAGCACTTGTGAGTCACTACTGTGGGTGCTGGGAATTGAACTTCAGTCCCCTCTGTAAGAGCAGCATGTGCTGTTAACCACTGAGCCATCTCTCCAGCTCCTCACTCATTTTTACAACAACCAAGTAAAAGAGCCCAGGTAAAGTTGAATGTTAAGTACTAGGTTTAGACATTTAATTCACCCCACATCATGAAAATTACTATGCTTTGAGACTTAGCTTTATTTGTAACAGTCTTCACCATAAATTCATAACCTACACATCTTTTCTGGCTCCATTTACACCTACATTTTACTGAGCACTAAGTTTTGCATAACAGATACCCAGAGTGTTTCTCTAAATCCTGAATAACAAGTATGATATGGGTCCCAGGAAGTCAGAACAGCAATGGCCACAAATTACTGACATAGTAAAACCAGGGTAAACCAAGTGACCATCAACCTGCTTGTAAACACTGAGGAACAAAACATTACACATTTATGGGAAACTGCACATATACAATGTTCTCTAAAATTCTTTTATTTGCAAGTTGCATGTAGACAAAATACTTTAGTTCATTAAATAGAAGACTTTGCTTCTGTCTTGGCTAGGGCGTCACTGTGTGTGGCTTTTTTTTAACTTTGGGAACTAACCCAGATAAGAGACAAGTCAAACCAGGTTTTAATTTGGTTTCCACATCTAGCACCCTTCCTCTCTTGGTAGGGTCTCACTGTGTAGCATTGGCTGCCTGGAGCTCACTGTGTAGACCAGGCTGGCCTCAAACTCACAGAGATCTGCCTGCCTCTGCCTCCAATGCTGGGATTAGAGGTGTGCACCTAGCTTTAAGTTTCTCATTTTTAAGTTCAATATATACATTGGCCTCATTGGAGGCAATTTTGTTTTGTTTTGTTTTTCGAGACAGGTTTCTCTGTGTAGCTTTGGAGCCTATCCTGGCACTCGCTCTGGAGACCAGGCTGGCCTCGAACTCACAGAGATCTGTCTGCCTCTACCTCCCGAGTGCTGGGATTAAAGGCATGCACCCCAATGCCCAGTCATTGGAGGCAATTTTAACATATAAACATCTGCTACATATTTGTAAGCAAAAGTATATAACTAAAATTTGAGGATCTCAGTGTATTTAAATTTTACCTTTAAAACTGTAAACACCATAATTAAACACAGGAGGTAGGTCATCTATGGACAGAGTGATGTAAGAACAACAAAAGAATGCTGGGAACTGTTGGAGTGATGGAGGGGCTTTCTGTTAACTGTTAGCTTTGAATGTATGAAAACTTTCCCAAATGAAAATTGCTGCATTTTAAAAGGGATCTTTTCCCTCTTAAATTTCTCCTGTTACATTTGTTTCATCTGGTATGGATTATGCACATCCTTCTTAAACTGACCATCTTGAAAGTCTAATGTACAGATTCCAATCAGTATCTGTCTACCTTGTTGGTGGCCCTGAAATCACACTAAAGTAAATGTGTTTTTAAACCTCCCAAATCTAAGACTTTAAAATATGTTTGCTTTTATTTTGTCTATGTGTATATGACATGTGTGTGCAGGTACCCACAGAGGCCAGAAGAGGGCATCAGATTCCCTGGAGCAGGAGTCATGGGTGAGTGTGAGCTACTTGGTGTGAGTATGTGGAACCAAACTCAGGTCCTCTGGAAGAATAGTAAGAGCTCTGAACCCGTGACAAAACCTGTGACTTTTAAAGTTATTTGTGTCTATGATAGAAAAAATTCATCTTTGGTATTGAAACAAAATTATTATAAAATATTTTCAAACATACACACATTTTTTTGCTGCCATATATTTTTATCAGGAAGAACTCTGAATTACTTTGAATTCTCCAGTGGCATAAAAATCAGAGTCACATTTAAAAGGTTCCTCAGAAAGTGTCACATAAATATTGCCATTATCCACCGTCACAGTGTGAATCCTTTGCTTTACTCCTTTGGAGCACCACTGGGGTCTTGCTGATGGGTCTTTGGGGTTTATAGACTGGTATAATCCTTCTCCTGTTGCCAAAGTGATTTTGTATTTATGCCAGGGGCAAACTATACATGACTGTCCATTGAAATCCTGGAAGGGAAAAACAACAGGTTTAATAATCTTGACACTTCAAGTGTTTATGACAGATCTCAGATTTAGTTAAGAATATCATGCAGGAGAACCCGGTTAGAGAACCGCACCAGTTGGAGCCACATGCACTCGGGAGATTCATGCCAGCCTGGACACACAATGAGACTCTGTCTCACAAACAAAGAGGAGCCTGCCAGTGACAGAGCTCTGCTGGTGAAGGTGCCTTCCACTAAGCCTGATGATGTGAGTTCAATCCTGGGAAACCACATGATGAAAGAGGAGAACGACCTCCACATAGTTACTCTTTGTTCACAGATTGTCCCCACACTCAAATCAGTAAATAAACACACAAATGAACAAAGAAGGCAGTGGTCCCCCTCCTATTTACAAGTTATTCAGCACAAGCAAAGTGAGGACACTCAAGTTGTTTCTGTAGGTGGCTAGAGCTCAGTGAGCGGGAACACTAGCAGAAGAGGACCAGCTGGCACAAGACCACACTGCCTCATAGCAGTGTAGAGGTTGTCTACATTAATGTCACTTCCTTGACAGCAAAGGGACAGGGCTCCCAGTGCTTCCCCAGGGATTTTCACTAGCTTCTAGAGGAACTGTAAGGCTGGGAGCTACTAAAGGCATAAGTGCAAATGCTAGTGGAAACTGGAATCCCAACTTTTAAATCCTCTAAATGAACGTTTGCCAGGCCTCACGGAGCATGTGCATCACCTGGGTCTGCTTTAAACATACTGTCTGCTTAAATTCAGCAAGCACTTGGGGAGTGGGGCTCTACATGTCTAAGAGACTCCAATATGACACGAGTGCTGGGCTCTGGCTTACACGCTGAGTAGCAAGTTCCTTACAGGCTAAAACACTAGAGACATGCGCTTTCAACCCTGTACACCAGAATCAGAAATGCTAATTTGGGTTCCCATAGAGGTATCAGCAAATAATCATATTTTCCTAACTTAAACACATGTCTTTTAACGTAAGGAACAGGAACAGACATGGTTAGCATCAAATAAGTGTACAGAGAGTGAAACTCAGGCTTGTACTTCGCAATAGGTAGAGAAAACAAAACAACCCAAAACAAACAGAAGGCAGAAATTAGATAACTAGTTTTGGAGTACAAGAAAACAAAGGCAATTCCCCCAAATTCTTCAGGTAAGATTTTAAATGTTTTCTCTCAAACATTTAGAAACCCGTTTATTATATTGAAAATATATACTCATAAAATTCAAAGCATACAATATAGCAACAAAAAGTGAATCTGTTGGAAAATTGATCTCGCTGCAACTATTCTATTTGCTCTTAATACTCAAAAGCACATTGTTAACATCCCTCCAAACCAGCACAGATAGGCCTGCTTCAGTAATTTAATAGGTACATAATGTTCCACAGAATGGCTATGTTATGATGTATTTAATGAGGTAGTCTTAAATTTTCCTGTGCAACTATATCCACAGGGTAGACATCCCAATGTATTTGTTAGGTCAAAAGACATTCATATTTATTATTCATCAGGAAAATGGTTTTCTTTATATTATAGGTTATGTCTTCAAAGCACTAAAGTGGAATTAAATGAAAATTATTAATCTTTGAGTAATGATATAGGAAACATCTGAATTTGCTCAGATTAAATTTAATTTTTGCATACCTCAATTTCTCCCAAGTGTAAGGGTCCTCCAGCATCTGAAAAGGAATTGATATCATATCTAATCACTAAACTGAATTTTAATAGTTTTGTGATGAACAAGGACAAATTCTAGAAAAGAAATCTTACGGTAGCAGCGAATGTCCATAGCATGATACTCCCCTTTGTGGTAGAAAATGACCACTTCTCTGTCATGGACAACAGCAGTCATTCTTTCTAACTTTCTGATGTCATCCTCTCTGCCAACACAGACAGAAGTGTGCTTCTTCTTCTCATCATCTTGTTCAGAGATTCCAGGGTCCATGCTCTTTAGTGAGGAGAGAAGGAGTGTGAGAAGAGGAGAGGGAAGGGAAGAAGAAGGAAAACACTGGATGTGTTCTTCTCAAGTTTGGACACAACCTAGAGATAATATTGAGTCATTTAGACTTTTTGAAACTAATGAATGCATTTTTCTATAGCTTGATAGAATGCTGTTGTTATTTATTATTGTTATTACTTGCTCTTTGTACTCTTTTGGTCTTTGGGGAGCCTCCCACCCAGCTCCCAAATAATCACATGGAGTCTTATTACTTACAAATGCCTGGCTTTAGCTTGGCTTATTTCTAGCAAGTTTTTCATAATTTAAATGATCCCATCTACTTTTTGCCTCTGGGCTTTTACCTTTCTAAATAGTTTTTCTACTTCTTACTCCATGGCTTGCTGTGTAGCTGGGTGGCTGGCCCCTGGAGTCCTCCTCCCTTCTCTTTCTCTTGATCTTCTCTTCCCAGATTTCTCTTTCTATTTATTCTCTCTGCCTGCCACCCCCCCATCTCCTGCCTGGCTGTTGGCTGTTCAGCTCTTTATTAGACCCATCAGGTGTTTTAGACAGGCAAAGTAACAAAGCTTCAGAGTTAAGCAAATGCAGCATAAAAGAATGCAACACATCTTTGCATCATTTAACAAATGTTCCACAGAACAAACAAATGTAACACATCTTCCAACTAATATTCTAAACAATCGGACATTTGTAAATGATAGATTATCATTCATCTTTACTTTGATTTAGGGGCCCAACAATGCCAAACCAAGGAAAACTCCCTACTGCCGAGGAAGACAGGGTTACTTTCAATACTGGAAATTTCAATACATAAAATTTCAATGGTGGAAATTTTATAGCTGAGGAAAGAGCGTAAAGCTCCACTGCACTTTCATCCAGTTGTTCTCTGCACTGTTTCTGTCTGTTAAAGGAGTCCCTAGACTCTTGGGTGCCTGGCTGAAGTGGCTCACTGTTGGCGCCTCAGGAGCCTTATGTGGCCTCACAAAACAAGCTCACCCCTAACAGATGTTAAGGTGGGGTTCAGAAGGTACCAGGACTGTTTTTTGGAGCAGAGCTACTTCAATTCCTTTCTTGTGTGATAAAATTAAAGGCTTGTGACTGATGACAGAGGCTAAAGTGCCATGGTAATATATAATCACAACCCTTGACAGCACTGACAGAGAAGCTTCTTAAGGAACGATTTTGATGGTCATCTTTAAACGCAACCAGAGTTACAAATGAGGTTATCTTCAGATTCTCCTTCGGAGTTTTCTCCTCATAAGAGAAGATCATTTTACAAATATTTTCTGATCAATGACTATGTGATTGGCACTTCAGCACTTAGGACATGGAAGCTTTCTGCTCTCTCAAGGATTGTGTTCCACGTGGCAAACTTGGTATCAAACAAATATATAAATAATGATACATTATGAAATTACCCAGGATGACGTGACAGTGATAGGGTGAGGAAATGTTGCAAAGAACAGACTGTAGAGTAACTGAAACAATCAAATTAAAACCCCTCCAATAATATGTGTCAGAATTCCATACTGAAGAAAGAAGACAAGCCTGAGGGAAAGAAAAGGCTTAGCTAATTTGAGGAACAAACAAACAACCCTGGAAAATAATAAGCAAGATTGGCTAACCTGTGGCAAGAGGTAAAGTTAGTTGTACAGCACTGGGGGGAGGGGGAGAGGGTGACAATGGGAGCCACTAACGCTATAAGCAAGGATGTTTTACATGTCTCCTTTAAAAACAGCACTTCAGGCTTGCTGGAAAACAGATGGTAAGAGGACAGGTATGTAAACACAGGACAGAAAGCTGCCACTGAGAAGCACCAGAGCCAGGGTGACTTGGCCAGAGTGCTTCTGAAGTGGGAGAGAAGTAACATTGTCTAAGCCCATCCCTAAAGCATGTCCCATTCTGAGGACAAGTGGAAGACACAAAGAGAGGCAAAACAAGCACAGCACCTAGTGACTGCCAATCAAACAAAGTTACTCATTCTCCTCTACTCTATCATCTGCCTCAAATTGCAGGTAAGTAATAATCAGAGAAAAATAAAGACAGTCAATGAGGTAAAAAAAAAATCACTAAATGATGCATGAAAACACTGGGGGCTTCCCAGGAAACTTCTGTTCTAAAACTGGTTGTTAGAAAAAAAAACGCAAACTATCCTGCTCCCTGTGTAAACCAACTTACTTTTTACACCCCAACTCTTTAAAAAAACAATATTGGTTAATAACTAAGTAAAAGCTTATGGCTATAATATAATTATTACAACCTTCTTTTGCCTATATTTCAAAATTTTGTCTTGTATTCACTCATTGGGCCAAATGTAGAGGTTAAAAGGATTTCAAAAAGAAATCAGGACTGAAAAAATACTCATGTCTGATCAGCCTTAAGACTACTCACTCCATAACACTGTGTAACACTCAGCAGACGTTCTTACAAATGTGAAGTCACACAACCAGATGTTTACAGGACATGCTTGTTTTTGAGACAGATCTCATGTATCTCTCATGCTGGCCCTGCACTTCCAATCTTCCTGCCTCCATCTCTCTAATGCTAATATTACAGTCTTAGTGACCACAACAGGTCTATGCAGTGCTGGGGATCAAATCCAGGGCTTTGTGCATGCCTGTAAGCACTCTACCAACTAAGCTGCGTCTCTTAGCAGCCAGATGCTCTGTGTGTGTGTGTGCATGTGTTTTCAATACCCAAACAATTATTTGGTCATCCTAAGAGACCTCAATGGGTGTTTACGTCAGACATAGCCTTCCAAATCAAAATGAACTAATTCTAAAGGTTTGTAGCAATCCTAGGTTTTACATAAGACACCCTCTCCCCTTTGGTTCCCTCTTTTAAAAAAATAATTTTATGTGTATGGATATTTTGCCTGCACGTGTGTCTGTGCACCACATATCCATGCTTGGTTGGTGCCTGAGACCAGAAGACATCATCAGATTCCCCCAGAAACCAGAGTTACAAGGATTGCATGGGTGCTGAAAATCAACTTGGGTCCTCTAGAAGAGCAGCCACTGCTCTTAAACCTCTAAGCCACTGCTTTAGCCACTTTCAATTCCATCTTAAAGATTTGTTATGAACTTGTTATCAGAGTGTGAGATTTACAACTCTGCCTTATGCTAGAAAAAGAAATGTGGAGAGCTGCAATGTGCCGCGCCTTAAAGATGGCGCCGGTTTCCACCTTCCACCATCCCGAGGGTGAGCGCTCTCTGGAATAAACAACTCCTTATTTGGCTTGGTCTAAGATTCAAACTTGCATCAGCAAATGCGAGCCTATCCGCCTTAGCCACGTGGCATTCTGGGGTTGGCTGGCAAGAGTGCGTTTAAGCTGTGGGCTGGCTTTCCCTGGGGTCAGAAGATTGTTTAAGTTTCCTGAGTAAACTGCTTAAGGAAGAGTCTCAGCGTTTCGTCTTCCTTGCTGGTCAAGGCGGTCTCGACAAAGAAATATATATGAAAAGGGAAATGAAGTGAATCAAAATGATGTCCCACGTTATCAGTAGAAACTGCCCTTAAAAACACTAGTGTACTGTAAAATACTCTTGTATTAAAAACATACAGTTGCCTACAATTGAAAATATTATGAATCACATATCACTTTCAAATACCCCAACTGTAGGAAGATGACCCTTACAGTCTACCTTATAAACTACACTTATACTGCCACATTCATAAGGAGTTACTATATCTTTACTTGCCCAAAGAGGAAGCTACCATATGGGATCCATTTCAGCCTGAGGTTAATGTTTTATATATATGTACCCACATAAGCAACTTGTTTAAAACAGAGCTTGGATGCCGGGCGTTGGTGGAGCATGCCTTTAATCCCAGCACTCGGGAGGCAGAGGCAGGTGGATCTCTGTGAGTTCGAGACCAGCCTGGTCTACAAGAGCTAGTTCCAGGACAGCCTCCAAAGCCACAGAGAAACCCTGTCTCGAAAAACCAAAAAAAAAAAAAAAAAACAGAGCTTGGACTAGATTCAATGACTGCCAACCCATAAACTTCATGACTCTTTTTAAAGCAAGTTTATAAAAACAGAAAACTTGGGAATAAAATCTCCACCTAGTTTATTAGAAGTGAGCTTTAGAAGAGGAGGTTTACCAGCTGCAGTAACAAAGGTTAGGGAGGACATGTGATGGCATCACAGCCTGCTGCTATACAACCTGCTGAGATCCTGGCTTCTCCCTTTCCCTGGGGCCTGGGGCAACCTGACCCTATTCCTGCTCCTGACTCCTTCCCCTGGCCCATGGTTTCTCCTCAGCACCTACCTGTCACTCTGCCAGCTATCTCTGGGCCTGTGCCTCGACTTCTCCTGGTTGCTGGCCTCTCTAAATCTTGGGCTCTCTTCTAGCCCAGACCACTCTTTTCTGGGCGACCTTCTTTGACAGCTCAGAGGTTGCATGGCTGCATAGTGCATGCATTAGGTAGCTGCATAAGGACTCTGCATGCAGAAACCATGTGGAACTGGGGCTGTGTGGAGCTGGGCCAACGGTAGCTCCATGACTCCAGTTTCAATGGCTCTAACTGCTGACCCTTGTTCTAAACCCTCCTGTTTGCTCTATAAGCAATCGCCTTCTGACTGTTCTCTATTTTTCAATTTCTGCTCCCGATCAGTTAACACCTACCTCTCCCTTCCCTCCCTTTCACAATAAACTCCATGTGGGTTTGCTGAGTTTGGTTTCATTGCCTGTAGCTGCAGCAAAGAACAACAAAACCTACATGCACGGAGGGAAAAGTGTGTGCACTGATGACAGGGGCGAGAGCTTTCACTCAATGATAAAAGTGACACAGATTAAGTTTAGGAAGCTACTCCACAGTCTGTAGTCAACCTATGCTCCAAATAACCTAATTGGGCTGTAATGCAGCTCAGTGATAAAGCACTTGCTTACTATCCCATGCCACGAGTTCTAGCCCTAGTGGGGGTGGGGGTGGAGGTGAGGGTCAGGGTGGGGCTTAATGGCATTTAACTGTTATTTGAAAAACTAGGATATATGCTTTTTTAAAAAAAAATAGCCTACAATAGAATAGCAAAAATAATTTTAAGAAAAAGCAAGGGGCCAGCTGTGATAGCACACATCTTTAATCCCAACACTCACCCAGGAGGCAAAGGCAGGTGGTTTTCTGTGAATTCAAGGTCAGCCTGGTCTACATAGTGAGTTCCGGACTATAGGGCTATAAAGTGAGACCCTGTCTTAGAGGAAATAAAAAGGCAAAGGGGACCATCACCATATTTTTTTCTGGGTTATCTGTGGATGACAGGAAGTTGGAACAATATGTCTTTCTGTTCACCTGGTTTTGCTTGATTTGGTCAAATATACAAATTTCTAGTGGGAAAATTTACTTTCAGAGCTTAACCAGCAACCGTATCAGATTTCACAAAGGAAAGAACACAAAGGAACCAAATCCTAAGAAAACAAGAAACAAACAAGTAGAGAAGAGGGAAATAGGCTGAAGCAAAAGAAAAGAAATACTAAATTTGCAGCACACATACCCTTTAAAGTAAGGTGCAGAATATATGAAAATACCTACGAACACTAAGTAAATGTCAAATAAGCAAAGAAAAATGAACAGAAGACATGACCAAACAGTTCACAGATGAGGAATTCCAAGTGGCCAGTAGTCACATGTGAAGATGCTTAACCTCATCAGGAAAATAAAAGAAAATGCAATACAAAGTCCAAGCTGGAATATTTCTATCCAGCAGACTAGCAAAAAGTTATAGAAGGTTGGCAAGAATATGACATAATTATTAGTGATGACATACGCTAATGCCCAGTGCAGCTTTATCACTAAAGCTGAACAGTCATGACCCAATATCCCACTTTCCCACTTGAGGCATGCTGACCACACCAGCAAAGGACAAGAAAAACATTGCCCATTAGTAGCAAGATGGATAATTTGTATACTCATTCAATGAAATGCTGCATAGCAGTAGAAACTGGATCATTTTTAAAACATGGAAAGTAAGCTTTCATTTTTTTATCATGTGCAAAAAGCACATAAAACCAAATAACATGTTATTCATGAACATACGCTTTTTAAGTATTTTCATTATTATTTTATGTCTTAGTATTTTGCCTGCATGAATGTCTTCAAGTCGTGTGATATCAGGTGCTCTAGGAGGCTGGGAAATGGCATTAGAATCCCTAGAACTGGAGTTATGGACAGTTTTAAGTCAACATGTAGCTACTGGGAATCAATTCTAGGTCCTCTGGAAGAGCAGCAAGTGTTCTTAACTGCTTAGCCATCTCTCCAGACCCATTACAGAAAAAAAAAGCAAGAGGATAAAATATTCTTAAAAGCCTCAAAAATGTTGTTAGTTCTTATAAAGCTATTCTTTCTAGTATTTAAGTTGAATACTACTTTGTCTTTGTTGTATCCTTAGAGCATTTGTCTGCACACAGATCAAGAATGAGCTACTTGAGAATCTTGTACATCTTATGTCAAAACCTAGCACCAGATAAGAAGTTACCCCTACAAAAATAAATAGCAAAATGCAATAGATATGGACTAACTCCAAAAGTTCACCTCCCCTGACAACCAAATAAAACCAGAAACAGCCTCCCTCAATTTCAGTGTTTGAATATGGAACATTTACAAGGTTTGCAACCAACCAAGAAAAACTGGAGTGCACTTTGAAGGGGCTGATAAGGAACTGAGAGGGTTCTGTCTACATGATAACAGTTTCAGAGAATTAGGATTATAGCCTTGCATATACTTTCAAATAAGTTTTCTTTATGCATCATACATGCTACTATTATATGTGATAATTATTTAAAATTAACACCCATATTGTTCTTAATTAAATACTGTGAATATCACAGTCCATTTAGACGAGTCCATGTGTTCACCTTTAAGAATTTAATCTTGTTACTCTGATAAACTATTCATCCACGCCTACATGTGCCTACATACTTCTTCTATTTAAAAAACGTAAAATCTTTTTTTAAGTGTAGCTTTTCTACACTGACAGATAAAACTGTATATATTTATAGTTTACATGATGTTCTGAAGTACACATACATGTGGAATGACTACATCTAGCTAATTAATAAATGATTTACCATACATAATAAAACGTTATGATGAGAACATTTTCCATGAACTTAGCTTTTTCAAGAATACAATATATTGTTAACCAGTCACCATGTGTACAATAGAGGTAACAGATCCTTTACCTAAATAAAAGAAAGTGGGAAGTTAGACAACTACCTAATTTAAGCAGTGCATGATTTCCTCCTTTAGAAAATTTAGTTCTTCTGTTCCTCAATTTTTGAAAAACGGTGGGGTTTTGTTGTTATTTTGTTGATCCCTAAAATTAGGTGTCTAAATGTATTGGGTGTCTAAACTCGAGACTTCTGAAAATAAAATTACACATTAAGTGGATGTCCTCGTCAGTTTTAGATACCTTTCTAACGTAGACAATTCATTCAAGTATACATTCACCGGACACAAGACATGAAAGCAAAGGTACTCACGTGTCACTCCTCTTGAGCAATGACTAAGGCCTCTTTCTCAGAGTGGGGACTTGGCCTGTACACTATCCCAATGCTTATCTCCAGGTGACACACTTGCTTCAGGGCTCAGGGAGGGGAAATGTTCTACTCACTTTTATATCAGTTTGGATGATGATAAATACACGGGACCAGTCTCTACATTTTGTAGTGGCTACTTGCTTGGACACTTTGCTTGTAAAGGTTCATTGCTCCTCACAAAATTGAGGATTCGTGAACTAGTATGTTGCTTGGTGTTCCTTTCGTGTCATCAGCAACCAGCGATTTATAAAAACACGTGGCCTGAAAGAAAGTCATCTTGAAAGCCACAAAAGCCGTTCCGCAAAAACGTACAGAGATCTTTTTATTGGCGGCACACCCACGTGTCAGGAAAGATGGTTCCGAAGGCGCATCTAGGGATGCTAATGCACAAGCCTGTGTCCACAAACCCTGAGTGAGAGGGGAGCCCTTGCCTGCTTTCTAGCCCGGGTCTGGGATTATTCACACTTGGTGTGGGCTGTGGTGCATCTAAGAGGTCGTCCGCATTTACAGCCGGCTGCCACGCTGCGGGCTCCGCAGCAGCCGGACTCGGAGGCGCCCGGGCCGAGCGTGCAACGTCAGCCTCAGCTGCCAGGGTTGACGGCGGCACGCCGAGCAATCCGGAGGGAGAGTCACTACGGAACCACGCCTGCCGTCTCAGGAAGTTCAGGCCTGGCCCTCCGTCAGACCGGAAGCACTGCCCGGGAAAGCCCCGCCCCGCTCCCATCCCCGCACCGCGAGAACCCAACTTACAATGCTGTGTCCTGGCCCCGCCCCCACCCAGCCCCGCGGCCAGGCCTCACTCCGAGTGGGCGGGGCTGGAGTCACTGGCTTGGAAGTCCTGGTTCCCAGGGCTTCCCGCCGAGCCTCTGGGGTTACTTCCCTAGCCCTGGCCGGTTATGAGTGGGTTAGGAGGCGACAGCCTGCCTACCCTGCTCTTCCCACAGAGTGACATCATTTTTTTTAAAAAAGACAATTATTGGTCTTTTAAAATATATCGAAAATTTAAATGTGCTCAGCAATCTTATGCCTAAGAATGTAAATATTGGCAGAAGCGCATGTGTATAGGATTGTTTATAACAACGAAATAATTCCTATATCAATCTCAGCACAGGCATGGTTGGATGAAATACAATACAATCATATGAAAACCTTACAGCCATATACTGCACGCCCAAAGGTCCAATTGCATGCTGTACTGAACATTGAAAGACACAGCATGTAGGTTCCCATGCATAATATGCACTCTTTAGTACAAGTAAGTTATTGCTTGAGATACAGATAGGCAGGGGTAGGGGAAAAGGGCCAGCCAAAGAAACACCCCGAGCAGAACCAAAGAAGCACACTTTGGCCCTGCAACCAGAAACAAAGAAATTCACCCTGACCCTGAAACCAGTGCCAAAGAAACACACTTTGTCCCTGGAATCAGAGCCAGTGAAGAAATACACCCTGGCCCTAAAATTAGAGTCAAAAGGCTAAAGAGGACCAGTGAAAGAAACACACTTTGGCCTTGGAACCAGAGCTAAATCTGACTCTAAACCTGTGCAGAAAACTAACCAATCCCTGAGCAGGAGATCTAGCCTGTCTGAGCTCAGGGATTGAAATCTGACCAATTCCCACCCTGGAAATCTCCCTGGAAAAACCCCACCTCTGAGAAACCCTATATAAATCCCATGTCTGCTCAGCTTGTGGCTGTCCTTCCACCCTAGTAGATGCAGCCACTCTCCTGGATCCTTCTTTCCCAATAAATCTCTTGAATGAGGTTTAGGTGAAGACCTTCCTTCACCAGAATGGAGTAGGGGAGAGAAGTAACAAGCCGAGCAGAGGCAAGCCCAAGGAGCTGAGCAGAGTCAGCTGAGCATGGCTGTAATACTTGCACCAGGGAAACCTTCCCATAGCAAAGCAGAGTTGTTACACTCAGGGGGACCACAGCAGAAATGTAACAATTTTGCACAGAAGCTCTCCCCAGCGGGAGCAGAGCTGTGACACTCGGGAAGCCTTCCCTGGAGCAGGGCTGTAAGCTGCTACTATTACTGTGACCTGTGGTGTTCTTTGGCTCCCCAGTAGCAGAATACATTTCCATCTGAGCTGTAACACTCAGTATTCTGTGGCTCCTGAGTGCCAGAATCCCTGTCCATCGGATGGGTTATAATGCTTACAGCGGGTATGCATATATACTTTATTAAAATAAGTTTTTAAAATTAGTGGTTTTAAGGAGAGACAGTGTGTTTTTACTTTCAATTTCAAACTATTACCCCTTTTGCATTTACTTATATTAAAACAACACATTAAGAATTCCTAGTCGGACAGTGGTGGCTCATGCCTGTAATCCCAGCATTCAGGAGGCAGAGGCAGGTGGATCTCTGAGTTCGAGGCCAGCCTGGTCTACAGAACGAGTTCCAGGACAGCTAGGGCTGTTACACAAAGAAACCCTGTCTTGGGGGGCGGGAGAAGAAGAATTCCTCATATTTATGTTCAGAGGCAGAAGCTAAATCAGTGACATGTTTTCAAAAGTTCTTTGTAAAGTGTCCCATGGCAAGTACTTGAAGAGGCTGCTACTGTGGGGCTGAGGTGGATCACTTGAGCTCAAGTGTTGGGCAACACACAACCTGCTTTTAAAAAACAAAAAAGCCAGCTAGAGAGTTCATGAAGTAAAGGCACCTGCAAGGCTGTCAACCAGAGTTCTACACCAGAACCCACGTAACGATCAAAGAACTGAGTTCACAGAGTTTTACTCTGACCTCCACACAGGCATGCATGTGCCCACTCCCCCAGAATAATAAAGACTTTTAAAAACCAATGATTCTTTGATGAATAGCCCAAAATCTTGGCTAGGTTTTAGATTTGGCTGGGAATTAAAAAAAAAAAATCTTGTTCCCAGTCTGCTCTCCAGATCAATAAAGTAAAATCTTAAGAGAAGGTATTTAACATACTTTCACTTCCAAAATGATTCTGTAAAAAACCTAAGGTTAAACATTACAACCTGTACTTAACATATACTAACATAATGGTTCCAGACCTTCAGTGTCTCACTGGGGAACCAGACACTTGGGAGTCTTGTTCATTTATCCCAGTGTATTACATACATTTTTTTTTCCTTTTAAGACAAAGTTTTGCTATGTTGTCCTGGTTGGTCTCAAATTTGTGAGCTCAAGTGATTCTCTCAAATCACCCTCTGAAGTCTCTCAAATCACATCACCTACAGGTATACCACCATGTTTTGCTTATAAATGTCTTATTTATAAGCAAGTGAAACACAGAGAATCCCAGGAGAATAGCTCAGTGTTACTTTCCCTGATATTCTTATGTTCACTCTATAGTTTTAGGATGACTAGTAATATTTTACAGAACAATGTTCTTTCTGATCATTTGGTTCACTGACCAAACACAGGGTAATTATCTAGTTTCGATAGATCAATTATAAAGTCATAATAAAAAAGAATTAATATTTGCATTATCTATTGGATGTCTTGATTTTTAAATATTTATTGTGTGTGTGTGTGTGTGTGTGTGTGTGTGTGTGTGTGTGTGTGTGTGCACCACATGCATATAGGAGCCCTCAGAGGCCGGAAGCAGGCATTAGAGCCCTTGAAACTGTTATTTCAAGTGGTTGTAAGCCAGCACGTGTGTGCTTGGAACTGAACTTGAGTCTTCTGCAAGAGTAGTAGGTGCTCCTGATGGGTACACTATCTCTCCAGCCCATGCCCCAAATTATGTTTTTGGCACATGGAGCACATAAACAGTGTCCAGCTTCTGTCACCAAATGATTAAATAGGGGTTTCAATTAGAAATGAAATTTCCTTTTGCTTAGCATAATCTGACATTTAAATATTTTGGTTTACTTTATGTGTATCAGTATTGTGCTTACATGTATGTCTGTGTACCACAAATGTGTCCACTACCTGAGGAGGCCAGAGGAGGACATTTAATCATGGGGACTGTAGTTAGACAGTTGTGAGCTGCCATGTGGGTGATGGGAATTGAACCCAGGTCCTCTAGAAGAGCAGTGGGTGCTCTTAACCATTGAGCCATTGCTTCATCCTATAATCTGACACTTTTTAAAGGAATCAAATATTAGATCCATTGGCCTTCAATCTGATCCAACTCAATACTCCAGTAAACACATACACAGAATGAAAGAGAATTTTTTGTCTTTCTCAAAGTAATAATGTTGTTTATTAAGTTTATTAAGTAATAATGTCATTTGATACTATTAAATGCTTGGAAAGCTGTAATGTCTAGTGAATAAATCACCTCTCTCTACTTCCCAGGTGCACACACATGAACACACAAAATCCTGTATGCATCATCATGTCCATTAAGTCAAAGAGACCTTACATCTATGTAAAAGTCTATACAGCTAAGTTGAATCGACGCCAACTGCTCTTTCTAAATGCTACCTGTGACCATCTTGGGGTACTTTCTACTTTTCTTCTTGGAAATGATTTATTTTTCCCCATCTCCAGGTTTTGTTGTTGCTCTCCTTCAGTGTTTCTAGCTTCAGTCTACTAGTGACACCCAGTGGCACTTATGAAATCAGAACACACTAGCGTTTCCTCTGTATTGTTGGCTCTCAGGGAACATTTCAAAGGTCCCCTGACCTTTTCGGAGTTCAAGGCCTCCGTACTGAGTAGCAGGTGCTTTTAAGCATGTTTTCCAAGTACCATAGTCTTCCCCTTAGAGAATTTAAAATTAGCACATTGGTATATGTGCTAGTAGAGGCTAAGTGCTACTAGTTTTCACTACAGGGAGGTTTGAAGAATATTCACCAGCCGGAATTTCCTGCATTCTCAAAACAGAAAATATTGGTACTAGTGCTCTTATTAGGCCACTGTGATGTAAACTACAAAACCAAAGAGGGTATCTGTCTTAGTTTTCTATTCCGTGAAAAACAAGATGGCCAAGGCACATTCTAAAGGAAAGCATTTAATTTCGCTTACAGTTGAGGAGGGTTAGGGTCCATGATAGCAGAGCAAAGATGTGGTGGTGGCAAGGAGAGAGAGAGAGAGAGAGAGAGAGAGAGAGAGAGAGAGAGAACATTGAGAATCTCACAAGGTTTTTGAAACCTTAAAGCACAGCCCCCTACCCCCACCCCCGTGACACGTGACACATCTTCAACAAGGCCATACCTTCCAAACCTTCACAAGTAGTTCCAACAACTGGGAATCAAGTATTCAAATATATGAGTCTATGGGGGCCATTCTCCTTTCAAATCATCACAGTATCTTTCTTTCTCTCTTTCTCTTTCTGTCTTTTGATTTTATCTATATGTTACTAGGGCTCAAACCCAGGGCTTCACATATACTAGGTAACTAACTGCACTGCTTTTAAGCTGATTTTAGCCCATTCACATAGCTTTCTTAAGAGTGGGCCCTACCTCTCTTCAACAGGATTCCCTGAGCTCAGCCCAGTGCTTGTCTGTGGATCTCCGCATTTCTTTCAATCAGTCATTGAATGAAGACTCCCTGATGACAATTGGTGTCGTTATCAATACAGGAGATAGCCAGATCACTCACCCTCTCCACTATTACTAAGAGTTTTAGCTGGGGTCATCCTTATAGATTTGTGGGAGTTTCCCTTGCACCAGGTTTCTACTTGACCCCAAAATTCCACCATCAAATATCTCTTTCATTACCCTCTCCCTGCTTACCCTC